GGTCTTCAGCCAGCTCAGTCCCTCCATAGTAATGCATGAATTTGGTCCATGAACCAGTTTGTCCCCTTGTTGGGCTGGTCTGTGAATTCAAGTGTGCCTCTTTGGAGCTGGTCTCGATCTTCCTGACAGATCACACATTACAGACATATGTAATGTGAATAGCTAATTTTCAGTTTCAGAGAATTAAATGCAGAACAATAAATATCTGGCAATTCATGTACCAATTATTTCTTGAAGCAAGAGCCTTTGCTGAATGCCATTCTAGGTAATACCTAAATCAGAGATTTTTTAGTATGCCAAGCATGATATTAATACACAGAATTGAAAATATGCTATTTAACAATACACACAGTACAAAATGTCACATCTTAATGTGATTTGGAATAGAAACTCTAAATTCCCTTGACAACTGAAAGCATAAAATGCCCTGGTATTTGGTGCCAAGTCAGCCAAATTTTGGCTGTGGATTCTGTTTTCAGTGATTCACTAATCTTGGTCTGGTCAGACACTTCAAAGCAATCATGAATTAGAAGTCAGACTACATTACATATGAAATCAGTGCATAGAAACTGCCTTTTAGATGCAGACAATCAAACTGATTAAGTAGGTTTGCTAGTTTTTAAATACCATGTTTGCTAGATTGATAACAAATTCGAATCAATGCTGCTATTGGATCTTACATCACACTGGAGAAAAAAGAAAAAATATCAAAGGTATTTGGCATTCTAAATGTATCCCTTTTTAACTCAGAAATTTAGTTTGATTTTACTTTAAGTCTAATGACACCACGAAGTTGCACAAAAATTTTGTATATGCCAATGTTATTGTTTCACATGTGTGTTTCCTGAGAAGAGAAAGAAAGGGGAATAAACTTCAATTGGCATATTTTATTCTGACATTTGTGGTTCAAAACAGAAAATCAAATTTCTGCATAACTACTTCATGCTGATAGTTTCCTTTACTCTTATATATGTATTTTTATATTAATAAAAAAGTTTTTATTTGTATGGTGATATTTAAATTTTTAAAGAATTGATTGCATTTTGTGGTTTTTAAATCACTTTCTGGATCTTAAAGAAATTGCTTTTTGTTAAAGGAAAACATTTGTTGTTTTACCATGCATTTCAAAGTTGTCCTAAAAGGTGAGACAACAGATTACCTAACTGAGAATTGAAAATAGAAACAGGGTTTTAGAAAAAATACCTATTTAGTATTATAGGGGTAAAAATGAATTTGCTATTCAGCCTTCTCTTCATGTAACTGATTTGACATTAATTAGTCCCCATGAAGATAGCTTAGGTGTATATTTAAGAATCCTTTCTCAAGTTTAAAATGGTTAGGAGTTTTTCTTGATTAGATAGGGGTTTGGATTTTATCAAATTAAGATATTCTTGAGGCAAAATAAAAATATTCAGAAAAGAGTTAAATTAAGTTGAGCTAAAAAACAGATTTAAAGCCCAGGCATAAAACAGAGAAAAAAGCCACATACCAGACTTGTAAACCAAATGTTTCCTGTGCTGAATAGGTTAATGGTTACCATTTGGGCATAAACATGTTGCCAAATATTCTGGGAGATACCTCACATCCCAAGAGCTTCATAACATACTCTCCCTGTTTGCAGAAGCAATTTATGTTTATGCACAGGGGTTCTGCATTTTAAATGTCTGTAGTGTATTAAGTTTGCATAACAGAGAAATTGTTCTCTAGCTGCCAAAGAGTTGCATCTAAGGTCTACTGTAATCAATGTAAGACTTCACCTGTTCTTCCAGGATACTGCAGATCAATCTTCAGCTGAAGGCAAAAAGAAAAATTTTCTCCTTCTGAATGAGTGATGAAATATAACATAAGTTTGGCCAGGCTTTTTTTGTCTAAAATCTTCCAAAAAACCCAAACCAGTAAGTCTAATAAAAATTTAGAAAAAAAAAATTAAATAATCTTCAGAAACCCTTTGGAAGTCTTTATATTAAAAAATATACTTTTGGTATATTACTGAGCAAACAACTTTTCTATGTAGCTCTATTTCTTTCTGTCATGTCATAAACATTTTCACTGCATTTTCCTTCATCAGAGGTGTCTTTTTTTAGTCATGTCTAAACATAAGTGCTGACAGACCATGTGAAATATTTGAAGCAGCTGAGCACAGATGTATACTTTGAGCTCAGATGCGGATTCACAGCGGCAGTAGAAGGACAGTAGAACAGAACGGTATTTTACTCTGAAAAGGACAAATAGAACAGAACAGCACAACCTTGAAGAAGTACTTAGAGAATGTAACTGAGGAAAACATGAGTCATGAAAACAGCAAGCGGGATGCCAGCTCAGCCGGGCTAGGCTGAAAAAGCAGAAGCTGTGCAAAACAATTATATTTCACTTACAATCAGGGGTCCAGGAGCAACCACCTAAAAAAGGACACAGGACAGACCCCAAAGAACCACATAAGGACTTCCACTAAGGGTACAGCCATGTGAAATAAATTAATACATAGACATCAAGTGAGCAGGGATAGCTGATGAATATGTAATCACTGTTTATGATAAAAGCTCTGTTTACCCAATGCTCAGGGCACTCGATTAGAAGAAGGATCCTCTGAGAGACCAGTGTGCTGCACTAAAGAACGCCTGATTTCTAATGGTCAAAACAGTGTCATATATTTTCTATTTGGCTGATTTCAGTATCAATGGCAAGCCTTTTGGTTAAATCCAGATACATGCTCGTTTGTTAGATTACACTTTGGTTGTGTGTACAACTGAGGAGCACAAAGTAAAATCCAACACAAAATTTTTGAGGTGTCATTTGCAAAGTGAAGATCAAGAGGACTATATCTAAAAGTGTGAATAGCAGCTAGCATAATGGATGATTCTTAACCACTAATATAATCCATATCATCAAATGGATTTTGTAAATGTGGTTGTGTCACCATGGCACTATGTGGATATTGTATATTTCAGGACAAAAAAATCCCCAGAAAGGATGTAAAGTGATTAAACCAGAGACCACAACTTCATGTTTACTTCTGGTTTGCAATTACTGCACATCAGGAGCACCAAATTTTGCCCAGGAGACTGGTAATTCAGTGTTCACAGTGCTCTCTTCAGCCACAGGTCCCATGTCAAAGTAGCAAAGGCTACTTCAAGACTTGTGGATAGTTAAAACACAGGTCTGCACACTTTATGGACAAATCCACTTTATAGACAAATGGGAAGTTGTATTTCTTCCTTCAAAGAGCTAATTCAGCCTATAGCAAGATGTTTTATGTCTTGAGCCATCTGACTTCTGGAGTCATTTGTTTTATCTATAGTAACTTATTGCACTGGGAATCTGATGGTGCTTATGCCTAGCTGTTGCTTAAGCCACCTTGAAGACACCCAGCCATCGAGCCTCAGCCTGAGTTACTCCAGTATTAGAACTGGGGCATGAAGCATCAGACTCGTGTCACAGATGTCAAAAGGCTAAGTGGACCTGGGGCTTCCTGTTAAGTATAAGACAAGTCCAAGTGAAAGAGTCAAATGGCACAAAACAAAGAGATAGAAGCAAAACGTGATGACATCATTTCATGGGCACCAGTATGGCCAAATAAAGTTGACCTATCTATTTGTAGCTACCACATAAGCTTACTGGCGAAGGACTGAAATCTTGCTACCACACTCATGGTGTTTTCTAGTGCTTATTTAGCAGTTAATTTAAACCTGTCATTAATCACTTGGGAAAAAATGATAACAACAATTGATTAAGCTATCCAAATGTGATCTTGGATTTTTAGCTTACTTAGTTTCCTCTCAGAATCACAATTTTAAAAAGAGGGGTGGGGGGAAAGTGCAACAATTATCCAGCATCTGAAGCCAGAGCAACACTTGTGAATAGACATTTCCTTGTACAGACAGACATGTTGCCAAACTTTTTTAGCCTAACCTTGCAGCACTCTTTGTAAATACCTCTGTGCATGAGGTCCCCTGAACACCTATGTAAATCCCCTTATAGCAGTACAGTTCATTCAGGAAACAACAAATTCAGAAGCTTGTGGAGAGAAAGGTACATTTCAGAGCCTAATTGCTTTTGTTTCTAAGCTACCTGTATAAAGTGCATGGTCTCTGAGCTCTTGTCATTTTTCTTGTCTCCTTTCTTCTTTCCCCTCTGAAATTTGTTCCAAAATAAATAGTTGCTAAATCCAGATATCTCAATGACTGTTTGAAGTGTTGATAAGAAATACTTTTTAACTTATTTGTCAGACATACTCTGCTTCTCAAAGAAGAAAAAAAGATAGACTAGTACTAAATTGCCTTTGATAAATATTGAAATAATTCAAAATAAAGCACATTCATTTTGAGTTTTATAATGAGGGAAAATTCATTAGTTCATTTCCAGGTAAATTAAGTTTTCAAAGGGTTCATGAATCTAAAACAAACAGAAACTATGGCATCTGATTTACCTTGTTGAGCACAGCATAACAGATTACGTTGACTTAATTAGGATGTATCACTGAGCATTCAGGTGCATAGTTTAGTAGCAGTACCGAATAAACCTAGACTGATTTTAATTTCATTTTAAAAAACAAAAAATTTCTGGGAAAGAATGACATTCCAATTAGTTTTGAGAGTAATTTTGTCTTGGAAGTGTATATTCACTATAAAACATTGATTTGCTTTTTGAAGGCAATAACTAAAGCAGACACATATGATGTATTTAGAATTGTATAATTTTTTTAAGACATAACTACTTCAATATAAGAATTAGGTGTGAAATATTTTATTATTGGTACAGACTATAAAAAGTGTATTGTTAGAAAAATTGCATAAGGCAAACAGTATAGCCCAATCTATCCATATATGTTTATGGAGACTGTGGAGCTCTGGAAAACATCTAATAAAAATTTGGTTTAATGCACATGTGAAGACAAAAGAACACTCTACTGCCTGCTCAATCCAGATGTTGTCTTCCTTTAACAAAGATACTTTAAGTCTTCAGTCAGGAAAACATTTTATGTTTTATATTCTTTTCTACAGGATGAAAAAAAGGACCCTGAGAACGAACAGCCTGTCAGCCCCACCTCTATGCCTAGAACAATCATGGAAAAGATCCTCACAGAAATTCTGCTAAGGCACAGGGAGGATAGCAAGGTGATTCAGGAGAGACAGCTCTGCTTCACCAAGGGAAAATCCTGTTTGACCAGCTCAGTGGCCTTCTACAGCACTGTGATTACATCACTGGAAGAGGGGAGGGCTACAGATGTCATTTTTCTGGACTTCTGGACCCTGAGCTGCATCCAAAGCAGCATGGTCAGCAGGGCCAGGGAGTGAATTCTGCCCCCTCTGCTCTCAGGAGACCCCACCTGCAGTCCTGCATCCAGCTCTGGGGTCACCAGCACAAGGAGCACATCAACCTGGTGGAAAGAATCCAGAGGATACCCCCAGGATGATCTGAGGGTTGGTGCATCTCTCCTACAAGGACTGGCCAAGGGAATTTGGACTGTGAGCCTGGAGAAAAGAAGGCTACCCTACTGCAGTCTTTTTAGTACCTGAAGGCAGCCTTAAAATAGGCTGGAGAAAGACTTTTAACAAGGTCATGCAGGGATAAGGGACAATGGTTTTGAACTGAAAGACAGTAGGTTTAGATTAGGTATTAGGAAGAAATTCTTTGCTGTGAGGTAAAGTGAGGCAGTGGAACAGGTTGCCCAGAGAATCTGCAGATGCCTCATCCCTAGCTGGATGAAGACCTGAGCAACCTGGTGTAGCAAAAGGTGTTCCTGCCCACAGCAGAGGGGTTAGAACTAGATAACCTGTTCCAACCTTAACCATTGTATGATTTTATGTTTCTGCATAAGCTTCAGTGGAATTTCTGCTTTGGCAGGAACACCTCTGGAATAATTTTCTCCCATCAGCTTCATCTATAGTCCTAGTTTCTATAGGGCTGTTTATTTCTCTCATGACTTCCATGCAGTATTTTTTAATCCTTTATTTCAATATCAGAGGGGCAACACGGCCTTGGCTGAGGGGCTCAGGTGTGTCCTGTGGACATTTAAAGGAGATGACTGGAACCACCTGTGTCAGGTCCAGGGAGGTTCCTGGCCTCTCCTCACAGAGGACAACTTGCAGCATAGTTCCTGCCCCACAAATACCTGGGCACACACCCACACACATTTCAAACAGGTTTACATGATGCAATATCTAAGCATACTGGAAAGCAAATAAAATACATTGAGTTCTTGAGCGCTATAGGTAACCCTTGGAATATTTTGATTTATGGTGTTACAAGTGATTATTGATTAGCTGATGGAAGCTACGGAAGCATATTTTGCTGCTTATCTGAGAGCATTCAACTTCACTACGTACTACCCCAAATATTTAGCTATTTTTTTTAAAGCTAACAGTAATGGTTTCATTGTTTTGCTAGCCTGAAGATAAGTGTGCTGAATACTTGCCATTTCTGGGAGAGTTTATTGTAGGACCAGTTACACTAGATATTAAATTGTGAATAAGTAGCAATTACAATTGTGTCTCATATCAGCAAGGCACCATTTTGTGCAAACACCTTTCAGCAGTGGAGTTTAGTTGCTAATAGTCCTTTCTCAACAGGCCAAGTGACACACTGACCATGGTCAACTTGAGCTACATAGTTTCTGTAGCACTTAAGTCTCACCTTAACCAACGATGACTGCAAATGATTCTGAATGTCCAACAACAGAAGTTCCTTTAGGCAATGAATTTTGATTGTTCTGCTCATAAGAGACTTCAAACTATATGAAAAGAGGAACTTTAAATGTCCCTTGATCCTATTAGAGGGTCATTATTCCAGGTCATGAAGTCGTTGCAGTGTTAATGTACTATAATAAATGCTGACAACTATAAAGTACCAATTATGGAGAGAGGCAAATAACCACCTAGGTTATACACTAAATGATTCATTTACAAAATAGTGCAGGAAAAGTTTGGTATCTTTTTGTTCGTGCCTTGTATACAAGTTTAGATCTTGACTAATTAAAAGGAACCTACTGTAGAGTTCTGGGTATTATTGGTTTTTTGCACTTCTTTTGGCAAAGGAGTTGTCCCAACAACAGCAGGTCAAAAACTGTTAGCTGTTTTAAGTCAATATCTGGGCTTTCCTTTATAATGTTATTACTTCACAAAAAGAAACATTTTTCTTTTTATAATGCTAATTTCCAAGCCTGATTAATGTGTTAGAAAAACTGGTTATACCCAACAGTATGGTGGAAGTTATCTGCCTTTTCATCATAGCTACACACTTTAAACATAGAATTTTTAAAACAGCACAGCTATTCATTGTAGGGTTTTGGTCTCAAGGACAGACATTTTAACTTATTTTTCTTGGTTTTCTTGTTCTTCTTGTTACACTTTCTAGTTTACAGAAATTATCCTAAAACATGCTTTGAAAATGTTCCTCATTTATTATTAGTTGTCGAGAGTAAAACCAAACATGTTAGAAACAGGGCTTTTTCTGGGCTTTCCCACTACCAGAACAAAACAGGAAAATATTGATAAAAGAAATAGGAGTTGAAGTGCAAGGGTTTATTCCAATTATTGAACAGCCATGTCTTTGCTTCTAGTTACAGTGACTGCCAAAATCCATGTAAACTAAATATAGCCCTCAAATTTATTGTTCTTTAACTGGAGGAGGTGAGAGCAAAACCCATTTCTTTCACAGGCTTTACAGTAGAGTGCAAGTACAATTCTAGTGATGCCTGTACTTTCAGATAATATTTGGCTTTAGGAAATATTTAGAAAAAATAGACATCTTACTTACAATGAATAAATACTTCATTATTTTCTTGTTTTGATTTTTTTATCCCCCAGATCAGCAAAAACCTTCTCTCTGAGGTTCCAAGCTGAGTTTTGAAAATAAATTAAATTTGTCTCTTGCTTTATCTTGCCACATCAGACTGGTGTGTAACTTCATCTTTGTCATCTAGTTCATCATGAAAGGGCCTCCAATTAGAATTTCACCTACCATCTACATCTGTTTAAAGCCTTTTCTTAAGTCAGCTTGCTAAACAAGTTTCTGGAGAGCTAATTTGGAGGATAAAAATTATCTCCACCATTGTTATCTTGTACAAAAACATCCAGAAAATTGGCTTTCAAGGATCAAGTCTAATAAATGACACTGTAAACATATACCAAATACACTTTAAGAGCTTATAGGAAATGACATAAAGTTGCAAGGTGTAATCAAAAAATCATATAGGCAAAAAGGAGCAGTCACTACACAAAGTGATAATCACCGTCTTCACAAATATTGTTAAACAAGGTGTGGACAGAAATGTCAATGAATTGTGATTCATATAGAGCTGGAATGAGACAAAGTATGGGTATTGAAGATGACAAGGGGTTCACAACACTTTCATGGGGATTTGCAGGTTGTTTCTCTAAACTAGATCTAGCTTTGAAGACAAACATTAGCTTAGTATCTGACAGCATTTCAGATGTTTATGAATACCTGAATTATCTGGATAGGTAGAAAAGAGTTATGCAGAGAAGCAGTCAGCTGCAGGGCTGTCACAGTTAGCTGCGAGGAGACACATGGGGTAAATAAAGAAGGCACAACAAGCTACCAGAACCTTTGTTTTTTCCATGTGATATTTTTTCTGAGCTTATTTTTAAAGGAAGACTTGAATTTTGGAAAAGTTTTCTTTTTCTTTCTCTCTTGTGGCCTTACAAGAGAGAAGCAGTGGAAAAATTAATTTCAATTTTCAGCTTACGCTTGGCTGTACCCAAGAGGAATCAGGTGAAGTATAAAGGTAACATATGCTCTTTCCCCCAGATGCCTCATTCTCTGCTTCTTTCCCACAGATGTTTTATTTTCTTTTCAACTAGCACCTGTGAGAAAATAAACATTAAAAAATCTCAACTATTCTTCCCTCTGTGATCTAAGCACTGGAAGGATGTTCAAAGTTGCATTCAAAAAAATGAAGTCAGATATGGACCTGTACTGAAATTTAGTTAATACTTTTGTCTGGTTTACAATGACTAAAGGCATATTCACCTAGAATAAAAAACAAATTAAACTTATAGAAGTGGAAAAATTGGCCAGTAAACAGTCATGTTCTTTTATTGTTGAGTCTGCCACTGAAAACCAGAGCATAAACTCTCCAAAAAATTTAAGAGGGTAGAAAGTCAACATTACATTTTTAGCACCACTAGATGCATGGAATTATCCTAAAGCATGCAGAAGAAGCAATAGACCTAATAGACCAGGTTATAGCCATGAAAATTATATATATTCATCACATTTCTATTATACAGTCTTAACATTTCCTGAATATGTACATATATGCTAATTATTTCAATGAACTCATTTGGATATAAGTACTGGTTTTTTGAGGGTCTTTGGTGGTCATTTGGGAGCATCCCAGTCCTCAAAATTTCCTTTTACAGCCTCAGACCTTCTGATGAATCTTCCCTCCTTGTGAGAGTTTCTCTAATATGCACTTCTAATATATTTCTCTAATATGCACTTTTCTTGTCATTCCTCAGACTGGTACTCTACCTCTGTTCTCAAAATCGAGACATCTGCTAGTACATATTAGTCACTGATACACGTAAATATGACACAGACTATGAGTCACAGATGTAGGGACAAGGCCACCTTAGCCTCTGGTACTTGCACTAAGCACTCTGTGGTACAAAACTAAGCATGAATTCCAAACATAGGTATCACAACTATTGTGCTAAAGTTAAAAGAATTTTCCAACATCTCCCCTCAATTATGCATCAATTTCTTCTTAAAGAAGCATAACCTATTTGGTTAACAAGGGGCCTTTTGGGGGTTTTTTAGAGTTCATCTCTTTGAGAAAATTTACTCTCTAGTGCTAGCTAGGCTTTTGTTCTGCAGTAATAATTTTGATGCTGAGTAAACTTGATCAAACATGCTGGAGATTATTAGCTTCACAGTTCTACTGATTTTTATATCTTTAAAGAATGGAATGCTATCATTTAAAGACCCATTTTGTCAATCTCTTTCAACTTGCCCTGTTCAACCCTCTCATTTTCACTCAGTAATTTCTGAGCAGGAGCATACACTGCAGACACAGTGCAGTCCATCCAAAATACATCAGTTCAATTGTTTATGTGATAAACCATTGGGCTGGGCTTTTGCAGTAAGACCAACAAATCCAGAATGCATGACATTTATTACAAACTTGCTGGCATCTGTTCTTTCTCAAAAAGATTGTAAGGCATTGCTTCTTCATGTAGCAACTGGATCTGATGTTTCTATCAGAA